AATTTTATTATAAAATATTTTCAGTCACATTTAGTCGCAATTTATTAGTGGTCCACGAATTATGAAATTAGCTGTAATAAAAAAATTAATTTTATTAATTTTTTATATTAAAATGCCACCCTAAAAGTCAAACATGACATTTATTAATAAAAATTAATTTTTTATTAATTTTAATAACAAAATGCTTTCCCAAAAGTCAGAGGCAGCATTTATTATTAAAAAAATTAATTTTTATTAATAAAATATCACCCCAAAAGTCAGATACAGCATTTATTAATAAAAAATTAATTTTTATTAATTTTTTATATTAAAATGCTACCCTGAAAGTCAGACATGACATTTATTAATAAAAAATTGATTTTTTATTAATTTTAATGAAAAATGCTATCTTAAAAGTCAGACGCAGCATTTATTAATAAAAAATTAATTTTTTTATAATAAAACACCATTCCGAACTTTGAAGGCAAATTTTTGTTAAAAATAACAAAATTGTTTTTTATAACATTAAAACACTGTTCCGAACATTGGAAGCGGATTTTTGTTAAAAAAACAATTTTGTTGTTTTATTAACATTAAACACTATTCTAAATATTAGAGGCGTATTTTTGTTAAAAAAATTTTTTTGATCTATCGGATACAGATATAGATACAGATTTGTCAGATTTGGATATAGATTCAGATTCAGATTTGTCAAATTCAGATTGAATCAGATTTTGCCTAAATCCAATCTGATCTGATCTATACAGAACACTACATTTATATCTCAATTCATATTCTTTGATAAATTTTTGTAACGCTATTCTGTCTCAGCATCTATCTTATCATCTGACATTTTGCTAATAGATCTACTATACTTTAATAAAAAAAATAATGCATAATTACTGCTCTGGGTTAGTTAGATCAGCTAGTATATTCTTAAGCACTTTTAACATTAAGGTGAAAAAATTGTTTTGATTTAATGATTGACTAATTATAGATATATTTGGATTATATTGCTGGTATAACTGAGATAAATGATTTTTAGCAAGATAATCTCTAAATGTATTAATAAATTTAGGATGTATTAAAGTTTTTGCTAAATACTTAATACAGATATTTGGATTAAGTGAAATGAGCTTATCTATAGCTTCTTTACTAATTTTATCATACCTTTTTAGATTAAAATATTTTAAATTAAGACATGATCTAGTAATTTCTTTGATAGTTATATTAGTAATTTTACAAAAGCTAAAGTTAAGATGCTAAAACCTTGGGTTAGAACAAATAATATTACAAATTGATATTTCAGAAAATTCTGTATGATTAGAAATATTTAGATATTCTAATTCATGATATGAATTTGTGATTACATATAGACCTTTATCACTGTTTTCTTGAACTAAAGATATATAATCAGCCAGTTTCTCATCACACAAAATGGATATATTAAGATACTTCAGATTCAGATATGATTCTTCTATTAGTTTTACTAGTAAGATACATATCTTTTCAAAATCTAAATAAATTATATTTAGGAATATGTATACAATACTTTTGATTTTTTTTGAAAGTAAATAATAGTATGATATTTTAAAATGAGTTAGATGTGAGCCATAAATTAGTTTTCAACCTCTTTCACATACTATTTTTAAAAATCTTTTTAATCAAGATTTATCCTCTACTTTATTTCCCTTTAGTTTAATACATTTTCATAGAATAGAAACATTGTATCTATATCATAACTAGGGTTGGTAAAGTCCTAATTGGTCCTAATTAATTTTAAAAAAATTATTAGTTTTAAAGATTAAATTTTTTTAGATATTATTATTATAT